ACATACGGACCCACAAGGAAATCCATAATGGAAGACCATCTTACTCGTCCAACGAGGGATCGCCTAAGTACTTAGGTGATCCCTTGTTGTCTGAGTAGGATAGTCTTCCAAGATCAGTGTACTGGCAGTGGGTCCGTGGGTGACTGTGGAGCCCTATTCTTGATCTGCATCGTCTCCCGCAGTGAGGGCATCGGTTTCCAGGTGGAAGGCAGTCTGGTCAGGGACAGCTTGGTGTGCCTTCCTCTTGGCATGTTTCTCTCTTTTGCCCTCTTCAAATTCTACAGCACTGCTGGTCACAGCTGACCTCCAGCTGGAGCGCTCAAGAGCCAGGGCTTCCCAGTTCTCAGTGTCTATGCCAGAGTTTTTAAGGTTGGCTTTGAGCCCATCTTTAAATCTCTTTTCCTGTCCTCCAACATTCCGTTTTCCGTTCTTGAGTTCGGAGTAGGGCAACTGCTTTAGGAGACGGTGGTCAGGCATCCGGACAACGTGGTGGGTCCAGCGGAGTTGATGGCAGAGGACCATCGCTTCAGTGCTGGTGGTCTTTGCTTCTCCCAGCATGCTGACATTTGCCCAAGAGATTTGCAGGATTTTCCGGAGGCAGCGCTGATGGAATCGTTCCAGGAGCTGCATGTGACGTCTGAAGACAGTCCACGTCTCGCAGGCGTATAGCAGAGTTGGGATGACAATCTATATATATAAAAATGTTATGTGCGCAATGAGTACCCTAAAAACAAAAGAACCAATGAACGAAATCACACCAAATTTGGCAACAAAACGTCTCACAACACAAGGAGTGACCATCACTCAAAAATTATGGTTTTGTCATTTGGGAATTGTAGTTGTTGGGATTTATAGTTCACCTACAATCAAAGAGCATTCTGAACCCCACCAACGATGGAATTGAACCAAACTTGGCACACAGTTTTCCCATGACCAACAGAAAACACTGGAAGGGTTTGGTGGGCAGTGTCCTTTGGTTTGGGAGTTGTAGTTCACCTACATCCAGAGATCACTGTGGACTAAAACAATGATAGATCTGGACCAAACTCTACAAGAATACTCAATATGCCCAAATGTGAACACTGGTGGAGTTTGGGGAAAATAGAATCTCAACATTTGGGAGTTGTAGTTGCCGGGATTTGTAGTTCACCTACAATCGCAGAGCATTTTTAACAACACCAACGATAGAATTGGGCCAAACCTCCCAGACAGAACCCCCATGACCATCAGAGTGGGCCACAGCAACGCGTGGCAAGGGATGGCTAGTAGCTTTATAAACAAGCACCTTGGTATCCCTGCGGATGTCCCGGTCCTCAAACACTCTCTGCTTCATTGGGAAAAATGCTGCACTCGCAGAGCTCAGGCAGTGTTGTATTTCAATGTCAATGTTGACTTTTGTGGAGAGTTGGCTGCCAAGGGAGCAGAAATGGTCAACGTTTTCTAATGTTACACCATGAAGCTGTATCTCTGGCATTCTATGTGTGTACATGCGCCTTTAAAGTGGTGTCAAACTGCAGGGATTCTCTGAATTGTAGGCGCCCTCCGAAGGAAGAGGGGCACAATCTCATTCATGCAGCCCGAGAGCTACAGCGAGCGTTCGGCTCCCTTCCAGCCCGCGGCCTTAAAGGGCCAGCAGCAGCAGCGCTTCTCCGGCGAAGGAATGCTACGGATTCCACGAAGAGCATGTGATTGGCTCCCGCCGGAGCGGAAAGCTCCCTCCCTCCCCCGACACGCAGGCAAAAGTCCGCCTCCTGCCTTGCCGCGGTTGGCTGACGCCGCTACCAATCGTCTCCGCCGGTTTGACCGCGTCAAACGGAGCGACCAATCCGGAGGAAGCAGGCGGGGCGGAGTGGGCCTCCCATTGGGAGTCGGTGAGGTCAACTCACCCAATTGTGGGTGGGGTTTACGTCTTGCCCGCCTCTCCCTCGCTCGGCTGGCAGCAGCGGCTTCTTAATCCCCAGTCCGCTTTGCAAGTGGAAGAGAGAGGTCGGCGGAGGAGAGTGAGGGTCGGAGGCTGGCTGCACCTGCCGGAAACCGGTAGGCGAAGCTGGCTTTCGAGAAGTCCAGCGGGGAGGAGATGGTTGGCGCCAAAAACGCCTCACTGGAGGCAGAAGGGGCTGGAAAGGGATGGAGCAAAGCGGCAGGCATTGGCCGGCAGTGGGCTTTCCTTGCTCCCTGCCCTCCTTCCCGCTCCCCCGGTGTATGGTGCCCTCCAGGTGCCTGCTTCAGTAGGAGCCAGCAGAGAAGGTTTGGGATAAGGACAGTGGGGTGGGGGAGAAAAAGTAGGGTCCCATCAGGGTTTTAATGGGCTTCCTTCAATCTAAGTATTGTTTTTGTGGCTCTCTATAGGGATATATGTATGTATGTGTGTTGTGTGTGTCTGTTTGTATACATGCATACACACAGGTACACCACAGGAGTGAAATGATTTGGGGTAATTACTCTGCGGTGGGAATGGTGGTGAAGAAGTGAAGTCCCATCAGGGTTTTAATGGGCTTCCTTCAATCTAAGTATTGTTTTTGTGGCTCTCTATAGGGATATATGTATGTATGTGTGTGTGTTGTGTGTGTCTGTTTGTATACATGCATACACACAGGTACACCACAGGAGTGAAATGATTTGGGGTAATTACTCTGTGGTGTGGGGATGGGGGTGAAAAAGTAGGGTCCCATCAGGGTTTTAATGGGCTTCCTTCAATCTAAGTATTGTTTTTGTGGCTCTCTATAGGGATATATGTATGTGTGTCTGTCTGCTGCTTGGCAGGGGGTTGGACTGGATGGCCCATGAGGTCTCTTCCAACTTTAGGATTCTATGATGCATACAGATATACCACAGGAGTGAAATGATTTGGGGTACATGGGCTTCATTCAATCTAAGTATTATTTTTGTGGCTCTAGGGAGAGAGCTCTCTGTTTTGTGGCTCTCTGTAAGGATATATGTATGTTGTGTGTGTCTGTATACATGCATACACACAGATACACCACAGGAGTGAAATGATATGGGGTAATAACTCTGGGGTGGGAATGGTGGTGGAGAAGTGGGGTCCCATCAGGGTTTTAATAGGCTTCATTCAATCTAATTATTGTTTTTTGTGGCTCTCTATAGGGTATATATGTGTGTGTGTATACATACACACAGATACACCATGGGAGTGAAATGATTTGGGGTAATTACTCTGGGGTGGGAATGGTGGGTCTCATCAAGGTTTTAGGGCATTTATACTCTGTCCTTCTCATCGTCTGAGGAAGGACTCAGGACAGCTTCCAAACCAGCAACAATTCAATGCCAACACAACATAAACACATAACAAAATACAGCCATATACATTAAAATAATTATAAATCTACATTAAAAACAGTTTGCCAGATATCACCATCCATATCGGTCCAAATGCGGTCAAATAAAACCTTGTCTTCACCAGTCTATTCCGCGAACGCATTATTGCTTTTGTGTTTGTGGGTGTGTGTACACACACAGAGAGAGAGCTTTATTCTTATATCCTGCCACCATCTCCCTGAAGGGATTCAGAATGGCTTACACATGGCACCTAAAACCAGAACATAAAATATACGCAGTATAAAATTCAATAAGTAAAACACCAAGCAAAAGTCAATACAACTGCATTCATCAACCATGCACTTATATACCATATAGATATAGACCAAGTGAAAATTAAAGACTTTGGTTAATGACTATGGGATTGTGATGGTGGCAAAGAACTAGGGTCCCATCGGAGTTTAAATTGCTTTAATTATTGCTTTTCTGTCAGTGTTTGGGGAATTATGTATACATATGCATACACGCACATGCACATGCATATATGTCTTTTGCTTTTTAGTACACGTATCCCTTACTTGAAATGCTTGAGGGCAGAAGTGTTATGGATTTGGGGGTTTTCCTCCAGATTTTGGAATACTTGTATTTATATATACTGTGTGCCTATAATGAGCGAACCTGGAGATGGGACTCAAATCTAGGCACACAAGTTCATGTTTACCTTGTAGAAAATAAAAGTGTCCTTACCTCATTCCCCCATATGACATTTTGGCAGCATTTGGGATTTTGGGGTATTGTGGACAAGGGATCCTCGATCTGTGTCAGCTGGAGATGTATCTCTCTTTTGGGATGGAAGCGGCGTTTACAATTATCTGGCCGAGCCAAAGATAGTGTGGTGGTAAGTCTGATTTGTGACTGAGTGTATTTCTGTTAGATGGATTTGTGCTCTCTTATAGTAAGATGCTTTTGTTATGGGTTAGACGGGTGGGAAGAGCATAGATTGGTAAGTTATGCATTTTGCTGAATTAGAAACGGGGTTATTCTGAGTGGTTGGCAGAGGAGGCAAAGTCCCAGGTGTTCAATGTTGGTGGGATGATATCATTCCAAGATCCATTCTACTAATGGAATAGGAGTACGGTATCAGATGGCTAGCCACCCACCCACAGGGGAAGATACAAAGTTAGATTCATTAAGATGAGAGAGAATATAAGTTGCTGTCAAAAAGAGCTTGGTGTGCATATCTAGTTTAGGAAACTAGGTGGACTGCTCAAAATCCTGAAGTGCATCATTGCTGATCCATGTGTCATGTAATCTCATAGTAAATGTGGTATCGCCTGACTCATATACTGGCAGCATTTCCTGTCCAATTTTTTCTGAGTGTAAGTAAAAATAGATCTTTTCACTGTTTGAGCTTGAGTATATCCTCTTCTGGTTTTTTTGTGTGCTTTCAGATTGTAATTGGGATTGTAATTTCAGATTGTAGTTGGGATTGTACCCCTACCCACCAACCCCCACCCCCCAAATTAGAGCTCTTTTGTTCTCAAATGAATGCATAGTATTCTGTCAGTATGGTAAGTGAGACGGCACTCAGCCTGATCTGACCTTCCAAATCTATGGTCTTCTTGGTTTTTGTCATCATGCTGCTCTTTACTAATGACCATTCACATCACTACCAGGGTCTACTATATTGTATTTAATAAGAAATTATTTGGAAGAGGGTATGGTGTGTTGGGATTACAGGCAGTCCCCAAGTTACAAACATCCAGTTTGCAAATGACTCAACGGGTCTGAGACAGCAGGAAGTGAGAGAAATCTACCCCTCATTCCTGGAAGAGTTATCATGGAGAAAAGGGGTCTCTCCTGAAGCTTTATCACCAGTCCTTGTTTCCATAACAAGCGAAATTTTCCAAATTGTTCAATTATCACAGGGACAGAAAGTGAGGTGAAATCTTCTGAACAGGGACGCAGACAGCAAAACAAACACCCCCCTATGCTATCCAAAGATGTGTGTGTGTGTGTAGTTGGAGTTACACTTTAAAAATGTACCTGTTTTGACTTACATACAAATTCAAGAAGAACCAGCCTACAGAACCTATCTTGTTCATAATTTGGGGACTGCCTGTATTTGTAAAACTATAGACAGGCACAAAAATAGCTCACTAAGCAACCATCACTTCTGCCTCAAATTATATGTAAGGAGTTCTTTGGCAGAGGAAAGGAGATGATCTCTGGTACTCTTGACCCCAAGAAAATATCAAAATCCTATAAAACTAGAATTTTGATATATTTTTGGGATCAAGAGGACCAATACGTTGTAAATAAGGTACATAGCCACCTCAATATGCCAAGGCGGCGTATCCCATCTGATCTTGGGAGCTAAGCAGTATCAGCTCTCACTAGTACTTGGATGGTAGAGTACCAAAGAATACCAGATGCCGGAGATTACACTGTATTTCGGAGGAAGGAAGTGACCCAATCACTTCAGAGTATTCCTTTCCTGAGAAAATCCTTTGAAATCCATGAGGCTACCGTAAGTTGACAGGCAATTTGAAGGCACACAAACAAGAAATACTAGAATCCATGACCCTAGGCTAGGATCTGTGCTTGTATTCTTATACTTACAGGATGTGGGATTTTTAAAAGCCTAATAGACAAAACACAGCAGAGGGCAGTAGTGTGCATTCAATAATGCATTTGTGTGGTAGGGTGTCTTGCTGCAGACAAAAGCTTAAAGCAGTGGTTCTCAACCTTATTTTTGACCAGGAACCACTTTGACCAAGGACCACTTTCCATCATTAGTACCATCTTTAGATTGGGTTTGGTCATTGGGTTTCTGCTCGTCCACAGAAAACCATATTTAATAATCTAGAGCTGATGTGGTAGTAGTAATCTTTTGTGGGTAGTCAGTCTCTCCCCTCCCGACATCCCACTGTTGCCACGGTGCTATAAGAGGGTTTCACAAGACCAGTTGCTCTCATTGCCACGTTGTTTTGAGGCAACGTTGCAATGGCTGCAGACCATATTTTCATTCTTGTGGACCACTGGTGGTCCATGGACGACAGGTTGGGAACCACTGGCTTAAAGGGTTTTGGAACCCAGAAATGACATGCATATCTGTCATGATTGAGGAATGATCTTGAAAGTACAGCATGCTGGCCTGGTTCACATTTGAGGATGTTTGTTGGCTATGTCAATACAGGCTGATAGGAGGGAGCAGTAGTGCCTGTCCTTTTTGTAGAACTTATGTCCTATGACTCTTGCGCTTGAGGTTCTTGTACAGAGTTCAGTGTTGAGAGGGAAACTGGGTAAACATAGCAGTGACAGAGGAAACATAAGGGCCTCTTCCTTTGCAGCTGTTTTGATATTGACGTACTTGGGCAGGCATATGCTTGTGTAGTTGCTTAAAAAAAAAAGCATACAGGAGAACAGTAACGTTATTGATATATGAAGTAATTTATGAGAGGGAGGGAATTTGTGAATGAAAGCGTAATTTTCAAGTTGCTGAAAGATGTTTCATATATTTTCCACTCTTCTATTCAAGGTGAGAACAGCGTGATCCCTGAAGAGTCCATTGACATTTTTTTTCCAGTGCTAGCATTGAACGAGTTCACAGCGTAAGCCGGTCTGAAGTCTTCGTGTTGCTTTAAATAAAACTCTTCATTGCCGCATGTAAGGTGAGAGATCTCTTTTCTGAGAAGAAGGAGGGCTCTTGTCGCAGCAGCAACCAAGCAGTCTTTTAAGAAGCATGAAAGGGGAGTTGAAGAAACTGAAGCCAAAAGCAAGACTTTAACCAAGCCCCTCATAATAATTTGGAACACCATCAAAGCACAGCATTCTTGACAGGATTAGATCTTTCTGTTGTGGAGAAGAGAAGAAATTACTTGGGGAATTTTATTTTTCATTTCTGGATAGACAGAACTAGCCGGAAAGCTAAATTCAAAACCATTTATATTATTCTGCTTGTGTTTTTTATAAAAAGTTAGAATCCAAAGTTCTCTGGTTTTAAAGACTCTTAATTTGCAAAGTGCCTTTATGAAGAAACTTCCTCCTTCAACTCTTTAAAGCAGATGAATGATTCCTGGCAAATGCAGTAAGAGCTGGACTTGCAATCCAAAGGGTACAAATGTGGAAAGATGATGCTTCAGAGACTTACAAGCCAACATTAATAAGCAGAATATTTTGCACTGTGTATTGAGTGCGCACCAAGGGTTCTTGCCTGGGGAGGAACTTCCAGGAAAGACCAACTAGATTTAATTTTCTCAAAACGCTTGTGGTTCCTTGGCTGGCTCTGTGGCTGGCATTTCCAGTTCTGAATTGTGCTTCATGGGGGTTTTTGGAAGGGGAGCAGGTTTTGCAGCAAAGGACAACATTGTGGATCTGGGAGACTTGGAACCCATATGCCAACAGGCAGATTATCTGAATCCAAGAAGGAAAGGCTTTTTCTCCAACAGTTGCCTTCTGTAGTGTATTGAGGACTGGAACAAAACCACACAGCCTAGCAACATGTCATCCAAGCTGGAACAAAAGGAGACTCATCACTCCAATGGAGTCGTGCTGCCCATTGTAGTTGGGCCTATAGATTGTCTCTCTAGCCCAGACAGAGAACATCTGGTTGAATCCTCAGAGTTTTTAGGATCGGAAGAAGAAGTAGGAGTGGAGGTGATAGTGATAGAATCCCGAGCCAATGCCAAAGGGGTTTGTGAAGAGGATGCTCTGCTGGAAAATGGCAGTCAAACTACTGAGAGTGATGATACCAGCACAGATCGGGGTCCAGAACCAGTTTCTTTACTCAAAGAGACATCTTTTTCCATTGGGCTACAAGTCCTTTTTCCTTTCCTGCTGGCAGGATTCGGAACAGTAGCTGCTGGAATGGTCCTGGACATTGTGCAGGTAAGAAAGGACAAAAGTTGTTTTCAATATGGTATGGATTCAGAATCTCACATATCTATACATGTTGTTGTGTCTGTTTTACCCTTTAGGTAGTGATCTGGTGTTCTCACTCTTTTTTCTAGGTGTTGATCTTTTAGTGAAAAGAGTAAAGACGCACTTGAGTTATTTGCCTAGTAATTTTGGGATTTTTTTTTGTTCCTTAGCCAAGAACCCATTATCCTAGACACTATAGGCAGAATTGTGAGAGCCAGTGTGGTGCAGTGTTTTGAGAGTCTCACTATAGAGACCAGGTTTGACTCTAGAAATGGAGATGAGCACAACCCCTCAGAGTCGGACATGACTAGACTTAATGTCAGGGGAAAACCTTTACCTTTTTTAGTTACAATTGGAAAGTTTGATGTTTTAAAACCTTCAAAAATCTCCTAAAAGCCCAGAGTGAACAGCATTTTTTAAAAAGTTACGCAGACTTTTTAAAAAACGCATGATTTATGTGATGTTTGTGGCATTGGTGATAATGCATGAGCCTGAACAATTGCCAATCTGGGAATGACTCGAAGTGCTGCAGTAAAACTGTGTAGCTATTAATGATATCAATACTGACAAAACGGAGCAGCTGCTATGTGACTGAAAGGCTGCTTTAGCTGAGGGAGGAAAAAAATGGTGCTCTTACTCTCTCCAAATTCAGACTACGTTGAGTAAATATGAGAAACGTAATCTACGGTGGAGATTTCCAGCAGACTTTTTTCAAAACATGAAACTTATCCCACTCTCTCAAATGACATCCTTGTTTTACCTGGAGTATAATAATTCCATTTGCCCCCCCTCCCCTGTGCTCGCAATGCAACTAGTTGGCAGATCATGTTAAAGGCCATGGCATTTCAGTTAGAGACTTACTTCTGTCATTTATGTTAGGTTGGTAGCACTTTGGGAAGAAACCAGCTTTCCAGGTTCTAAATTATAGCTGTTATAGGAAGTGGTGGGTTAATATAAATAGCAATCTAAATTGGTTTTAGCCTGAGCAGGCTGCCTTTTGCACTTCCGTGAAAACAGGTCTGACTGTGATGTAGGCAACATTAAATCCATAGCCGTGGATGTGATGGTTATCATGGCTCCCTGTCCTCAGCCTTCTTCAACTTACGTATATTCCGGCTTATAAGACGACTGGGTGTATAAGACAACCCCCAACTTTTCCAGTTAAAATATAGAATTAAGACGACTCCCATGCATAAGACTACACCCGCGTATAAGACGACCCCTGACTTTTGAGAAGATTTTCTTGGGTTAAAAAGTAGTCTTATACGCCAGAATATACTGTAAATATTTGTGAAAAGTTTGGCTTTGAGCTATTTACATGTTTTCAGGTACTTGGAGGGGGCAGTTTATTGCTAGTTTTTGTGAAGTTAATTCTCACCTTTAAGCAATATAAAACCTAAAATGTAGCCTCTTATTTTAAGGAACTCCCACTCCTTACAATTGGATATTTAAAGATGTTGTTCCAGTGCTTTTGATTTTGGTCTTCTTTGTTGTTGGACAGGCTAAACTTGTACTGGTAATTAAAATAAAAAGGAGCATACATAAGTTATAAAATTGAATCCATTATTATTGTATCCCTTAATAAAGCATGTTTCCTAAAAATATGGGATTGTGGAACTCTATAATTCAAACTTGATTTACTCTTGCAAGGCACCATAATGTATGAATGATGGCGTACGTAATTTGGGTTGTTTGCCTTCAAACATACTTGGAATAAGTAAAACTACTAGCTTTTGAGTACAGGATATCAGTCACATCATCATAATATATTTCATATGCAGTTCTTTTAAAGGCAGCTTGAAACCACACAAGAAATATATCTGTGTAAATAATATTTTAATATTGTACCCAAGAGCATAAGGGGGCATGGTGGTGCAGCGGTTTAAATGGTTAAACTGCAGAACTTGCTGACCAGAAGTTCAGCGGTTTAAATCCATGGGATGGGGTAAGCTCCCATTGTTAAGCCCATCTTCTGACAGCCTAACAGTTTGAAAATATGCAAATGTGAGTAGATCAATAGGTACCGTTCTGGCGGGAAGGTATCGGCGCTCCATGTAGTTATGCTGGCCACATGACCTTGGAGGTGTCTATGGACAGTGCCAGCTCTTTAGCTTAGAAGTGGAGATGAGCACCACCCTCCAGAGTTGGACTCGACTAGACTTAATGTCAAGGGGAAACCTTTACCTTTACACAAGGGCATGCAGGAATCAGTCTTCTACCAGCTGAGTCCCGCAGTTTCCTAGATGTAGTTCATAGTTTTTCAGGAAGAATCTTGCTTGTCAGTCCAGGTTGGTAAGAGAGGTCTCAAACTAAACATGCAAGTTGGTCCTATATTGGAAACGGAGTGTGAGTTTATTTTGTCCAGTTTATCTCTTCTGTCCCAGACTGGCTTCAAGGAAGCATCTTCTAGTGATTTTAGTTGTTTAGTATTATTTATTGCGGTCACTAGGAGTGGATAAGACATAATGTGAAGCTTTTCAGCAAAACACTCCAAAATAACAATTCTTTTTAAAACCCTGTGTCATACCATGGTGCGTACTCTTTCATACATGCCAGGATATAATATTTCATCCTCATAATAAACTTCAGAATAGCAGAACATGAAACCAACATCCAATATTTTAAGAAAATAAATGCCAGCCTATTTGCTTGTATTGGCTGCTTTTCTTTAAAGTCAAAGTTGTTATGAATATCTTCATGTTCACTTCCTCCACGCTGGAAATTAGAAGGTGGTTTCCAGGCCTTTCTTTCATAGCTCAGTGGGAAATCTGAGCCATTTATTCTCTTCTTTTTTTAAAAAGAAAGATGTAACACCCAAATGTTAGCAGCATGTGTCTGTTGGTAACTCTTAAAAAAACCAAATATTTTACTTAGCAAACTGGTTGATAATTCATTTTAACCTTTAAAGCACAGCTTTTTAAACTTGCATCATTTCGTAACATAGTAATTCGGTTTACTAGCAAATGGGAGATTAAACCAATCCCTTAAAAGAGATGCAGGCACATACATAAATTCAAATTATATAACAAAATTTATTGAGACACAAAATATCTCATGAAAAACTTTCATTTATATATATATATATATATTTACATTATGATTTGTAAATGATAACATATATTTCTCAGATTTTTGTCATTTCTTGTTATGTTTGTGCTTATACGCTACAGCTGACACATTGTGTCACGACACAGAGTTTGAAAAACTCCGTTTTAAATGTTTGATGCCCCTTTTCCATCAAATGGAAGCAGGTTACCATTTTGCATGCCTTGATTTCTGTTCTTTTGTGTCCAGCAACTTGACATCTACAACTTATCTGTCACATGTTGTCTTTCACACCATATTTTCATCCAAAGAGTTCTGTCTGTCAGTTCTTCACAAATGAGCCTTTTACTGGATTAAAGGTGCAAGTGCTTTCTGTTATTTTCTTTCAGAATAGTGTGAGCGGATTTTGAGCAAATAGTCCTTGAGCAAATGGGAGTCTTGCAGGTATCCATTTTTTGTTGGACAACATCTGTCAGGATTTAATCCCACTGGCTCTGATGAGTAGACTTGATAAAAGCTTCAGTCCAGCAACATATAAAGATCCATTTGATTTCAATTCCTACACATTGAAGCTAGTCGAAGAATATGATATTCTTAACAGTTTGGAGCTAAGATGCCTGAGAGAGTACCTTCAACCCTTGCATGCCTCCACAATAAAACCTGGAGATTTTATTGTGGAGCCTTACTGTGAGGCTCCTACCAAGTAAAGGCAGTCTCCAAGTTACAAACAACTCATAGTTAAGAATGGGGCTGAGGCAACAGGAAGTGAGAGAAATCTACCCCTAGGAAGGGAAATTCACTCCTATAAAATTTAACATGGGGAAAATGTATCTCCACTGAAGCATTATCACCAATCCTTGTTTCCACAAGCCAAAATTTTCAAAATTCAGTTGTCACAAGGACAAAAAATGAGGTGAAATCTTCTGAACAGGGACACATAAAGGAAAACAAAGTGTTGTTAACCCTTCCCTATGCTATCTAAAATACATGCTCCCCCCCCACCCCCCCCCCGTCTATATTGGTTGGAGTTACACTTTTAAAATGTACCTGTTCCAACTTACACACAAATTCAAGTTAAGAACAAACCTACAGAAACTATCTTGTTTGTAACTTGGAGACTGCCCGAATAGCATAGCAGGTGCCTATTAGGAAGGGAAAACTTCCCAAAAAGATTTACCGTGTGCCGTGCTTATGCTTGTGTTTGATGCCAAGCAAAGCCTTCTGGTTTTATTAAAATTTGATCTTAACAGCTTGAATTGTATTTATGCTGTTTATTTTTAGCCCCACTGGGAAACTTGTTTTATTTCTCTCTGCTGACAATTTTCAGTGCTATGATTTGTTTTGATTCTGTATTTTCTTCTGTTTTGATTGTGAACTACCAAGAGAACAGTACTGTCAGGAGATGTGCATTAATACTGAAAATGGAATAAAAGAAAGGAATGATCTTTAAGGAGCAAGCAGATTTAGGTTAAACATCAGTGAAACTTGTTTGAGTTCAGGCGTTTGAGCAAGCTATTCAAAGAAGTTGTGAATTCTCTTTCCTGGGAGACTTTCAAAGTTTCCTTGCCATCCTGGCATATCACTATCCATGTTCAATGAAGACAGTACGAAAACAGTAACAAAAAACAGTAATTTCTTATTTTTAGGTAATTAGCTTCTGAGTGACATAAAGAGAGGGCAGCATATGTGGGGCATGTGATTCCCACTACTGCTGTAGTTGGATACATTTAGGAATGCAAAACATAGTCTATCTGCAACTGATCAGATTTCCCCTTCACCTTTTAAAAAGATTTCCAAACATGCCTCGACACCAACAAAGGATTGGTCGAATTCTATGATTCTATGAATGAAAGGGTGTGGATGGGATGACGATGAAAGATGTTAAGATAGATATGTATCAGCTTACCTCGTGTGATTGCCAA